CTGAAGGATTGCATGACCTTACCTGAATGCGGAGTCGCGCTGCATTTGTGTACATACCAAGCAAATGGTTTACCCAACAGAGAATATGTTGCTGTTGAATATTTCTAAAACATATAGTAATATATGCAACAGAATAGCCCTATATCCAATATGGGGCTACTCTAGCTACTTATATCACCACACATTCACAAAGTGACACTGTGCGCTACTCCTGTGCACCTATAAAACTGACAGAGCATCTTCAAGCAAAACACCAGCTAAACTTAGGGTCAATGTCTGCTTTACTTGCTTTTTACTTTTTAAAATTTCATATACACACACACACACACATACACACACACACACACACACACACACACAAGCTCCATGGTGCCTCTAAGAAGGTCCAAGAACAACTTGTGGGAATTGGTTATCTCCTTCCACAACATAGTTTCCAGGATTGAACTCAGGTTATCAGAACTGATGACCAGCACATTTGCCCACTCAGTAATCTCGTTGGCCTCCACTGTACAGTTTTTTAAGTATAATATTCTAATTATTTAAGAACTTCATGCATATATACAATTCATTTTGATCATAAATAAAGGAGAAAACTTAGCTAGATAGGCTAAAATATAATGTTTATATCTTACTTTTTAAATTTTGATTAAATTCCTTCTATACATAATTCAACAAATCAGACATGGTGTATACGTATAAACTGTAATGCCTATGCACAGCAGTCATGAAACATTATAAGTCAAGGGGAGGAATGGTAAGGCAGACAGGAACAGAAAAAAAATATAAAAAGTGGAGTTGAGTTCAAGAGAGAAGCGTAGGGGAAGATTGCTGCTGTAAAAGCAATCCGAGTGGGACTTTTACAACTGTGGTATATGCCGCTCTTAACAGCACAAAAGAGAGCTACCAAGGGCAAGTCGCCCTCCTTGGTGTGGAGCTAGCTGAGAAGCATAAACAAGGGGCCTCCTTGAAGTCTTATTAAAATACCTTCAGTTCCATGACAGTGTTTATTCAAGATTTAAATCTCCAAATTAGTAAATGTTAGGGCTCTGGTTTGTTTACTCAGAAAGGCTTCCCTACGCCTGTGAGCGTCTTCAGTACCCAAAGCATACAGAGCTACAACTGTAATGACAATACTGGTACTGGATAACATGGGCCCAACACAGATCGCCACACCAGATGCTCTCCTTGACGTTCAGTATTTGCCTGAGAACTATGAGGCAAATACTGACACAGGCTGACTTTACTGAGAGAAAAACTGAGGCTCAGGGAGGTTAGCGGTATTAAAGTCACCAACTGATTAGTAGACACGGGAGTTTCAGCTGGGTGACCTGACTCCTGAGTCTTCCATATTAACCTCTGCCATGTGAATGAGTCAGTAAGACTCTTTCCTGGGTATGGAACTTCACTAGAAAATACACCTCTCCTTGGAGCAAAGGACACCAGGTTAGAACTCTTCCCTAGCTATAGCTCCCCAGGACAAATCAAAGGGCCAAGACACAGCCATTCTAGTTCCTTCTATGAGCCCTCCCCCACTAGTCTGTAGAGCAATGATTCTCAACCATGGGTCACAACCCATTTGGAGTCACATATCAGACATCTTCTATGTTGAGTATTAACATTATGATTCATAACAGAGCAAAATTGCAGTTATGATATAACATGGCTGGGGGCGGGGGAGTCACCACAACATGAGAACTTTATTAAAAAGCTGCAGCGTTAGGAAGGTTGAAAGCCGCTGCTGTAGAGGACCACTCTAACAACGGGTGTGTTTTCTTCTATTACAGAAGGGGAAAAAACCCTAGAAAGTCAAGTCAGCAGTTACATTGTCTCCATTAAAGCAACAATTCAAATATTTTGCTTCTGAGGGCTGGCAGCCTTCTTCTGGTGCTATTCTGTATCTTCCGGTCCTTGCCAGTTCACCACATCATCTGTGCACAACTCTTCTGGCCCTGCAGGTAACAAGCCATACCTACTTTCTTGTTCTCACCCTTCGGAAACCTACTAGAACCTCAGCGGCAGCTTCAGCCTTCCGACCTGTGGCTGTCATGGGGAAGCACGCACTAAGTAAATTCTCGCTACTGCACACTTCCTATTCCTCTCATTGGCAGTTTATTTTTGGAGATGGTCTTTCTGTATAACCCAGCCTGGTCTGAAATTCCTGGAGGAAGCATTCTTCCTGCCAGGGCCTAAGATGCTGACGGCTGGCATGTGTCATTCTCCCAGACTGCAATATTTCTAAACCAAGGAAGTAACCTTTCCTTTAAACTCTTCCCCCAGTTCTCTACTGTAAACCTTAAAAGTTATTAGCCTGACTCTTCCCAGGAACCCTGGGATGCTATTAAAAATCCTTCTGCTTCTCACTGACAAGGCGACTGCTACATTTCATATGGGAGGCTAATTAGACACGTGACTGGCACACAGTTCTTTAGGCATTTTTCATCCCCGATTCACAGGCAAATATGTATGTATAAAACATATATGCGAACCTACAACTACATTCACAATGCATATATGTAAATATTTAAATTCCTTCCAAAGCAATGTATGCACCTGATTTCCAAACACGTTTAATTGAACCCGCTGTCGCTTCAAATGAAATTTCTACTTAATTGGTTACTGTGTGTGAATTATTAACTAGTGCTCCTTGAGAATAGAACATTAAAAAAAAAGAAAAAAGGAAAGCTCCTGGTACAGCTGGAAGTGACATCATCTCCCCATCTCCATGGCTGTACAACAGATCCATTCCTTCCACCTCCAGTTTTGTTGTCAGCCTCCGTGAGCTCTGGACAGGTGGTCTGAATAGGCATGAGGGAGGAGGACCCCTTTAGACCTGCATCCTCTTCTGATGGAAAGATGCTCAAAGTCTCCGCAGAGCCGGCACGACCTCAACTTTGCCAGAATATGAAGAACCGCCACCAACACTCCTTTACCATGTCTTCTGCCCCTGTGCCTTTTAGAACAGGTTGCTACATGTATTAAAGTATCACAATCGGGGCTGGGTTCCTAATACCAAAAACAAAACAATACTTAACCACCGTGGAAACATCTCTACTCCAGTACTGCTAAGGTTTCAATGTGTACACCCCAATTTTCATGTTGGAAAATGAACCCCCAAAGTTGTATCTTAATAGTTTGAAACTGGGGCCTTGGGAAGCTATTAGGATTATGGATGAGGCCGTGGGAGTGGTGGCCCCAAGATGACAGGAATGTCTTTATGTTGAGGAAAAGAGGCCCCAAACAGCACACCTGCTCTGTCACATGTGAGATGACCTTCACCATATTAGGACACAGTAAGGAGGCCTTCGGCAGGTTTCAAGCACATGCCATGCTCTTTAGCTTTCTAGCCTTTAGACCATCGATTCCTTATCCATGACTCAGTCGTCAGTGTTTGTTCTGAGCAAAAGCAAAGCTCTAAAAGATGAGGGTGAAATCGCCATGAGTCCCGGGTGCTCTGACACTGCGTCACTCAGGAGGCATGGTGTCTTCCTTCTCAGCCCCACCCCCGACTCTCCACCTCAGTTCTTTCATCTTGTAGTTATTGCCCGTGTCTCAAACAAACGTGAAGCCCCGCAGGATATCCCAGTCCATTTTACTGGGCCAAAGGGAACACATATATTTAGCCTTGGTCTAGTGGTGGCCTCCAGAGCTAGAAATGAGCACTAAGAAGAAGAGCCTACAGGGTCTAGCTTACCGGGTAGTTCACTTAGGGACAGCAGCTTGGATGTTTATGATAACAGGCAGCAGATGCTGGGATAGTCTGGGAAATGCATATAACAATATATATCTTATATATAAGTGGCCATTGCCAACAGAAACATTTAGTCATTTAAAAGAGCTGTCATAGGAATCACGGCCTCTGTAAAGACTTCAAGAGTTCTCACTAGCTTTCTTGTTTAACCATTGGCAAAGTCAGCAGGTACACTTTCATATCTAGGAACATGAGCAAAAGAAATAATTTATTCTTTAAGTGGTAGCCAAAATGATACTGAGAAGACTGTGGCAAAAGAGTATCTTGTGTTTAGAGCCAGTGAGGTAACTGCAGATGGGTCAGAAGGGTGCCAGCTTCTGTGTTCAGAGCTCAGGGTCTCGTTTCCCCATCAAGGTAAACCCTGAGAGTCTCACCTCTCCCCTAGTTCCCTTTCTTCCCAGATCCCACTGTCCCCTTCTCCACACTCTGCTCTATCCAGGATTGCCTGTTACCACCAGCCAAGAGAATATCCAAAGAGTAAAACAGGACAGACAAGGCAACTGCTTCAAAGACTGGCCTTTGCGGAATTAGGAGCAGGCTCACAGGATGATTTATCCACACCCCCTACTGCCCCTTCAGGTAAGCAGGTGGCTGCCAGTGGTACCTGCTCTCAGACGGTGCTAATTCACCCCACTCATTGCCTCCTGACCGTCAGGAATACCTAGCCTAAAAATCGTCCCAGCGCCATTATCTAATTCAGCAATTAGATAATAACTGAAGATAGGGCCCACTATCGTACTCCTATTCCAGTTATGAGTCACAGGAAAGTCTAGTCCAAAGCAGGCCTGCCTCCACAACCCTCACAAATCTGAATCTGCCTTGATTGTTAGATTGTCTTTGATGGCAAGCTAAGATTCCAGATCAGCACGAGGACCACATCTCATGTTTGAAAACATTCAAAACCGGATTCATTCCTCACTCGGTTCTTCAAGAAGACACAGCCAGAAGACGCCACTCAAAGTGCAGCTTGCACCTGGAGAAACAGGGATTAAAAACAACCTCGGTGGCGGAGAGCGGAGCCCCTGAGTCTGGAGCTTAGCGGGGTGGGGGGAGGAGGGCAGAGGGGGCGCACGGGGCAGGGGCAGCGGGCGGGGCGGGGCCGGCGGCGGGACCCACTGCTCCTCCCCCTAGGGCCCCCGCGCGGCCCCCGGCACCCTGACCCCGGCAGGCCCCGTCAGAGAAGCCCGCACAGGTCCCAGGAAGGTGGTGTCAGCATCTGCAGCCGAGTCGGACTAGGACCAGGGCCCCGGGCCTTCCCACCCTCCCTATGGAGAAGCCAGCTGCCTCAATGGAACCCCAAGGGCCTCGGCCTGCCTTGGGCCGCGAAAGTGTCCAGGTGCCCGATGACCAGGACTTCCGCAGCTTCTGGTCAGAGTGTGAGGCCGAAGTGGGCTGGAACCTGACCTACAGCAAGGCCGGCGTGTCTGTGTGGGTGCAGGCTGTGGAGATGGATCGGACTCTGCACAAGATCAAGTGCAGGATGGAGTGCTGCGACTTGCCAGCTGAGACGTCCTGCACGACATAGAATACCGGAAGAAGTGGAACAGCAATGTCATTGAGACTTTCGACATCGCCCGCCTGACTGTCAACGCCGATGTCGGATATTACTCTTGGAGGTGTCCCAAGCCTCTGAAGAACCGTGATGTCATCACCCTCCGTTCCTGGCTCCCCATGGGCACTGATTACATCATTATGAACTACTCAGTGAAGCATCCTAAATACCCACCTAGGAAAGACTTGGTCCGAGCCGTTTCCATCCAGACGGGCTACCTCATCCAGAGCACGGGGCCCAAGAGCTGTGTTAGTATCTATCTGGCCCACGTGGATCCCAAAGGCTCCTTACCCAAGTGGGTGGTGAATAAATCATCTCAGTTCCTGGCTCCCAAGACCATGAGGAAGATGTACAAGGCCTGTATCAAGTATCCCGAGTGGAAGCAGAAACACCAGCCACACTTCAAGCCATGGCTGCACCCAGAGCAGAGCCTGCTGCCCAGCCTGGCGCTGTCAGAGCTGTCCGTGCAGCATGCGGACTCCCTGGAGAACATCGATGAGAGTGCTGTGGCAGAGAGCCGCGAGGAGCTGCCAGCAGGTGGTGCAGGTGGAGAAGGCAGTGATGACGACACCTCACTCACCTGAGTACAGCCCCTCTGCAAAGACTGAGACAGGGCTGGGGCTGAGCCCTGGGGCACTGGGCCTTTTTGCACTTCTTCCCTTCCCCCACCTGCCTTCTGGGGGCACTGGGCTCCTACTCAGGGGGCTGTGGCCTGACTGGACATGGCCCCAATAAACAAACCACACAGCCCCCCCCCCTCCAAAAAAAACAACCTCAGTGGGTGTCCCTATAGATGAGGAGCCCAGCAGGGAGGCTGGGAAGTTATGACACACTGTAACCCACTTCTGGGAATTATAACCTAAGTAAAGGTCAGTCTTATTTGTTTCTTTGCTGTTCTTATATACCCTTCTCTCTTCCCATTCCCCCCAAAACACCTCACCTATCCCCAGTTCCACACACACTCCACATCACAGGGATTGGTAGCTGACCTGTGAAGCCAGACACCTTTAAACAGGAACAGGTCAGAGGACAAAGGAGAAGTGTCTTTATTATCTGAAGCCTGGCCACCTGTTAGCACAAGTAGGTCAAACACCATACATACCCACTCATGACATACTGCCCAGCTAGCCAGTCCCCCTGTCACTTCTGAGTTACTGTTAACTAAACGCTGATGCCACTCAAGGAGCCCACACAAGTTGAGCTAACAACAAGCAAGGCCATTTGGAAAAGCAAATAACAGAAAGAAGACAGAGCTCCTTCAGAAAGCGGTGACAGCTGAAAAGTAAGTTTTTGTTGCTCTCCTTCCATGAAGAGACAGCGTGGGATGACAGAGGAGACGGCTGTGTTTGGCACTAACTGTCTCCACGGTTGCTGTCACCGAGACTCCAGCCCCGTCTTTCCAGCCAGGTTGTGCCTTTTAGCGTGAGAAGCACAAACAGAAAGCAATTAGGGCCAAGGAAGAACAATGAGGATGTCTGCAGGAAACAAGGGCGGAACACTAGTTAATCCTGGTGGATTTCCGTCCTGATTTCAAACATCAGCGCGTTGACAAGACACCCGAGGAGCTTGCTGGAAATGCAGGCCGCAGATGACCCTACCTACCCTCTCTGCTCTGGAGGAGGCCCCAGGTGATCAGATGCAGGTGGCCATACTAGGTCAAACTCTGACTCAAGTCACCTTTCCCAGCATCTGGGACAGCTAGTCTGCATTGGCTGGGAGGCCTGAATTTAAGTGGTAATTCAGTTGCTCAGAAATTACAGGGCCTGCGGTGGGTCATTTCGTCTTTCTCGGCTATTCCTACCAAATGAGGAGCGCAAAGATCATGAAGGGCCGCTGAGAAACACTGCCCTTAGAAGCTGGCTTTTTTCCTAATGGACCCCAAAGAAGATTTAGCTCTGTTTCAGAGGCTCACAGAGCAAGCAGCGCCTTTGGCCTGCATGTTTGTGGACCAGATACAAACGGGAAGGAATGACTGAGCTGGAGACTTAATTCCTCATGGAATCATATACGTTCTCTACCTTAGTCACCCGGGAACCAAAGGCATGAACCACCATGGTGGGGGGATCAGAGCTTCACGGTGCTGCCCAGAAGGGTGTCACCAACCTCCATGACAGGAGGGCTGTTCCCTTGGGTTCTGCAGACAGAGTGGCCTGCCTTCATGTGTCCTTACTCTGAGTCAAGAGAAGGATCCTGGCAGATTGTGTGCGAAGATAACTTTTGTCCAAACACCAGCATGTTGGTATAGTGGTGCTGTCTGTTCTCTACGCCAGGCTTGACTTTTGGAGCGCAGGTGCCTCCCCCCACCCCCAAATGAGCAAATGCTTCAAATGGAGCAGCACCATGCAAAGAGCCTCCCTCCCCCGCTGGAAGTGCGGTGCTGTTCACTGTTCTCTCTGAAAGCAGGGTTTCTTTGTGCAGTAAAGCATCTGAATTATTAGGGGATTTAAAGGTGCTAGAGGGGAAAGGCCGTGCCCTAAAAATACGACCTGTGGTTAGCTCCAGGTCTCCGTGAGAAGTGAAATTGACATCCTCATTCCCTCTTTAATTCCTGGAGGAGGGAACACTGGCAGAAGGAATGGAGGGGACTGCCAATGAGATTGGGGGGACCCTGGAGGACAAAGGAGACAGTGAACGACAGCACTGACAGGGGTTTGCCAAGTGCTACCTCCCCCTTCCCTTATTCTCTCCCAAGACAGCCAAATAAATTAGATCACAAACCAGTGAGTCCTATCAGAAAACAAAAATCAACAGAATTCTGCCTCAGTTCGGTATGTACTTCCAGTACGAGAGGAGCCAGGGACTAATAAACTGCAAGGACCATGGGCTCAGGGCAGGTTCATTCCCGGTCTCTCCCCAGCTTAGCCTCCCACTAAGATGTGTTCCTTCAGGCTTTCTGCAGAAGCCCCATTCCACTAAAGCTAGGTAGGCTGTCTGTCTGCTCAGGATCTGAGTTCCCCTTTCTTCTGTGAAGTGCACATGGTCCACATTTATTGGAAGGAGATGCAAGAAGCCAACTTATATGAGAGTTTGTGAATTCAGGTATAGTGGGTAATAATATTTTAGGTAATATTGCTGTTAGATTTAGAACCAGGAATACTTCCACGCTGAACTTGGGAGTCGGCACACTGCTGTGCGATGGAAGAGGATGAATTCTGTCCATCCCACCGTCTGGGTTAAGACTAGAGGAGGCCTGCACATCCGTGCCCGCTGCAGAGGCTATGTAGGAAATCAGTGAACTCAGAAGCATAGTTAATCCCCATGCCACACTGGGGGGCCTCAGCCTGTATCCCCTGAGATGCCTGTCTGCCTGCCCTGCCTCCCTCTTAGCATCTTTGGAGGGGGAAGACAACCAGGCAGTTCTCTGCATCAGGCTGTTGCAGGGATGCCTCATTTACAAGAGCTAAGTAGTGGTAATGGAATGGGGGGCTGGCATTTACAAAGAGGAGACTCCACCATCCTCTGCAATAAGCAGGTCACAATTTCTAGTCCTCTGGAAGGGAAAATGTGCAGGGAAGCCTCTGGGAGATCATACCTGCCCCCAGGCCACCTCCACAGCAAGGACTCTGAAACATCTCCCTGAGCACAAGGCAGCCTGGATGCCCACCAGAAGCCAAGGAGTTGCCCAATTGATCGCTCTGGCCACGTTTGATCGACTTTATCTTTAAAACACGACTTAGCTCTGTCCTGTCCTCGCCAGCCCTTATCACAGCTTTGCTCCGCCTTTCTTTTTCCCTTTCCCTGAACTACCACAAGATCCCCGACTCCAGCCTCACAGCAGCTTCTCCTCACTTCAAGGTCAAGGTAAGCCTTTCTTCTCCCAAGCTTTATTATGGTTATAATTGAATCTTTGCCCAAAACACATCAGTCAGAGAATTAATTTCTGGAATACATCAAAAAAATTTTAAAAATTAAATACACCAAAAATCATCTAATCAGTAAATATGAATGAAGAGAGAATGTTCAAAGACTGTACAATGGCCAATAAGTGTATTTTAAAAAAAATATTCCCATGTTTTTAGCAGGGAAGTGCAAATCAAAACTCTAGTGAGATTCTATCTCACACCAGTAAGAATGGGTATCATAAGGAAAAACTATAACTTCTAGTGAGAAAAGGTGGGGATGGGATCCTTTACTCTGCTGCTGAGATCACAATCAGGTACCATCACCATAGAAACCAGAATGTTCCACTCTTGGCTACCAGGGAACCTGAGTCAGCTATGGACAGAGATGCCCGTGCATCCATGTTTGTTGTAGTGCTGGTAATAACAGCCAAGTAATAGAGTCAACCTCGATGCTTGCCAACACATTATGGATAAATAAAATGCTGTATGCAGGCATAAGTGGCTCACACCTTTAAGTTCAGAGCCGACCTGGTCTACATAGAGAGGTCCAGGTCAGGCAAGGCTACATAGTAAGTATCAGGGGGAAAAGGGTAATAAGAAAATACAGTATATGTATACAATGTTTTATTCAACCAAAGAGAATAAAATTATGTCACCAAACCATTTGCAGAAAAATGGATAAAACTAGAGATGATATTAAGAGAATAAGTCCGATACAAAGAGGCAAATATGTTCTCTCTCTGCTGTAGAACACTTTCTTCTGAGCACATGGCTTTAAATGGAAGCCATAATAACCTGTACCGGACTCTGCCAAGATTGGCCCCACTAATAATTCCCCATGGAAAAGATGGATAAGACATCCACAGGGCAGGTGTGCATAGGCCTTCCCCAGAGATATGTAAGTATCAGTTCATAGTCCTGGGGAAAGGAGACTCGTCATAGGTGATGTGGACCTCCGTAAGCCCCCCATGTTGTGGTAGATAATCTACGCCTTCACCAATGCTACTCTAAGTAACCCCAGTTTAACAGGCTCACCAGGCTAGACCTGGGGTGACATGGTGACTCTCGCCTACTGCTGCTGCCTGATCTGGGGTGAATACGTGTTTGTTCACACCACCCTAGGATTAGTAGGCAAGCACATATATTTGTGATCTAGTCTAAAAACATACACATAAGACATGAAATAGAAGGGGCAGCATTTGGAAAGAAGAACAGGACCAGCAGAAGAGATGAACAAGACGGAGAAAATGGGTGAAATATGGGTCAAAGTGTATTTTGCATGTATTGTCCTAATGAGGCTCTGAGCTCAGTACTCTGAATCAAAAGGAAGTTATAATGAAGTCTATCACAAATATGTGCTAGCAAAACACAAAACTGCATTTATAGTGCAAACGTTCTATAGGTGTATATATCTTACAATGACTTAATCATGAGCCTATCACCTTATATAGTTGTCATGTTTGTGGTGAAAACATTCATGCAGGGCCTATTTATCAATTTCCATTTTTACATAATTAGCTGGAGTCACTTTACAGCAGTCCAGAGGACTACATGACTCATCCCTCCCGGGCCTGGTCCTTGACAACCACCATTCTCCTCTCTGCTTCTCAGCATAGTGTTTTAGGTCCCACACATTAGTGCGAGCATGCAGTGTCTGTCTTCCCTATGGCCTGGCTCATTTCACTCAGCAAAATCTGCTCCAAGCCTTTCCATGTTGGGAAAGAACACATACTCTAAAAATC